ACGAGGCCGCAGCGCTTGCTGCTGCTGAGCCTGCTCCCTCCAAAGCTTCCTAGGGCCCAGAGGTGATGAGCACAGAACTGTCCAACGGCACAAACGGGAGCCCTTGCTGCTGGGCAAGGTGGAGAGTTCCCTGGGTCAACAGCCTCTTCTTGGATGGGAGACTGGGCACTCCAAGCACTGACTGCCAGACTTCCCCAAGGGCACAGGGGCATCCTGCTAGTATAGGTAACACCTGGGACAGCACCTTAACTGACAGTAGGTAATCACTGACGTGTGTGTGTGTGGTAAACATAACATTACCATCTTAGCCATTTGTAAGTGTCCAGTTCAGGGGCATTAAGCACCTTCACACTGTTGTCAGCCATCCCCACTATCTGTCCCCAGAACTCTTTTCATCTTCCCAAACGGAGACTCTGTCCCCGTTACATACTCAACTCCCCATCCCTCCCTACCCAGTCCCTGGCACTCACAATCCCACTCTCTGTCTCTGTGAGTCTACTTTAGATTCCTCATATAGGTGGAATCACGCAGTATTTGTCTTTTTGCGGTTTGGCTTATCTCACCGAGCATAATGCCCTCAAAGTTAATCCATGTTGAAGCAGGTGCCAGAATGTCCTTCCTGTTCAAGACTCAGTAATACTCCATATGGATAGACTCTATTTTATTTATTTATTCATCCACTGATGGGACACTTGATTGCTTCTACCTCTAGGCTATTGTGAATTATGCTGCTATGAACACGGGTGTGTACATATCTCTTTTGAAGTGCTTTCAGTGATTTTGGATGATATGTACTTAGAAGTGAAATCGCTGGGTCAGATGGTAATTTTATTTTAATTTTTTGAGAAACAATTATTGTTTTTAAAGTTTTACTGTTGGGGTGCCTGGGTGGCTCAGTCGTTAAGCGTCTGCCTTCAGCTCAGGTCACGATCCCAGGGTCCTGGGATCGAGCCCCGCATCGGGCTCCCTGCTCAGCAGGAAGCCTGCTTCTTCCTCTCCCACTCCCCCTGCTTGTGTTCCCTCTCTCGCTGTGTCTCTCTCTGTCAAATAAATAAAATCTTTAAAAAAAAAAAAATAAAGTTTTACTGTTGATCAATGTACCACTGGGCAGTGCACTTAAATTACAAATAGCTACTAACTCTGCACTGCTAATGAAAGCTGCTGGTGGGGGTGAAGGCTCTTTTCACACGTCTAGCCTTCAGGAGTGGACACTCCCCATTATGACTTAGGAGGTTCACTTAAAATGTTTCAAGAAGTCGTAACTGTTAATTCTGGGGAGCTGTATGCATAATCTTCACCCCAAAATACGAAAGCCAGTACAACTTTATCAAGTTAATATTCTCTGAATACTCACTCTAAGTACTTGGAGAATATGCATTTAAATGTGCGATCTAAAAGTACTGGGGAAAAATTTTTATGAAAAGAATGTTAACAGGGGTGCCTGGGTGGCTCAGTTGGCAAAGTGTCTAGCCTTCAGCTCAGGGCATGATCTCAGGGTTCTGGGATCGAGGCCCGCGTCAGGCTCCCTGCTCAGTGGGGAGTCTGCTTGTCCCTCTCCCTCTGCTCCTCCCCCTGCTCTCTCTCTCTCTCTCAAATAAATAAAATCTTTAAAAAAATGTTAACAAAAAGTATGTAATTATATTTATATAAAAACAATGTATAGTGACAAAGATAAAAAGAATACTCAAGAATCTTATTAATTATGGGTTATTTATGAAAATTGTAAAGGCATTGTTTATTTTGTAATGTTTTAGAGTTTCTTCATAAAGTAGGTTAAACTCCTACTCCCAAAAAGAACAGGTAACTTTGTGAAAAAATAAAATAGCACTAAAACTAACCCATCGCCTGAACCATTCAGAAGAAAACATCCAGCTGAGCATCCAGAGGCCTTTCCCATTCCAGGAACAACAACAACATCTAATAAAACTTCCAGGAACGGACATGGAAGCTGAAGAATAGGAAATACCAGTATGTATGAGACAGTTTAATAAACTACCGTGATTAACCCAGAAATGTGATATTTCAAGTAGATACGCTTCCTGCCGCATTTCTGTTGTGTTCACTCGTGAAGACTGTGGTGACTCTTATTTATAAAAAATATCAAGAGCTTAAGGACCCAGAGAAGCCACCATAAAGTGTCTCAGAAAACGAGAACTCTGACAGACTTGTCTCATCACAAAAAGATGCATCTTTACATTTTTTTCTCAAGTGCTGGCAGCATAGGAATCTCTCACCATACTGGTCACCCCGAAGCCATTAAAATAAGCAGTTTTCATATTGTAATAACCGAGGATCATAAATATTATGTAACTGACAATACTGAGATAATCCCAAACAAAATATACATGCAATAAAATGATCAGAAACATCACTGAGAATTCCTTCCTCTTGGTTCTCATGCCTCCATTCAATAATTTATCAGGCTAAATAACAATTATCACATGTCTGCTCCGTCTACAGAGGAGCTCTAGAGGACAACGACCTCTCTTTCTGTTTCCACGGAGTGCAGCCTGCTGTCTTTCCACAGCAGCTGCTCAACAAATAAGCACACTCGATGATGGGGAGAAAATGTGGGGATGGCCAGGAAAAGTAGGTTTAATTCCAGTTTTCCTTACATTGAGACAGAGCTCTCTGAGGTCCCAGCTTCCTTGGAGGAGGCTTAAAATATTAATTTCAGACTTAGTCAAATTACATATGCATGTTATAACTTCCAGTGTAGTCATACAAAAAACTAGGAACAGTATCAAAAATCCAAACTAGTAGGGGCGCCTGGGTGGTTCAGTAGGTTAAACGTCTGCCTTTGGTTCAGGTCATGATCTCAGGGTGCTGGGATCGAGCCCCACATCAGGCTCCCTGCTCAGCGGGGAGCCTGCTTCTCCCTCTCCCACTCCCCCTGCTTGTGCTCTCTCTTCCTCTCTCTCTCTTGCACTCTCTTTCTCAAATAAATAAAATCCTTAAAAAAATCAAGAATCCGCAAGAAGGCTAGCAAAAAAGCAAAACAGGTAGGTAGGAAAAACAATACAGAATAGGTACATAAAATTCCAAGTATCTCATAGATATAATATACATAAATGGAGTACATGTTCCATGTTAAGTGATCAAGACTGACAAATAAAATATTTACAGGTGATATAAACCAGAGAAAAGGACTGAGAGAGATAACCAAGCAAATTCTAACCAAAAGAAAGCTGGAATAACTATATTAATATCAGTAAAAACAGACTTAATCCTTGTAACGCTTAAAAAGAGCCCCTTCATAATTACGAGAGCTTAAAATTACAAGATGTTATATATCAATTCCAAATGTGTATCCCTGACTCAACACTCAAAGGAAATACAACTAGAATTATAAGGAAAATCCATAATCAGAACAGATTATAATATGCCTCTCAAAAATGGATAGAAAACAGACTGACTCCTCCCTCCTCCATCAATGCCCCCCCAAATCAGAAGGATAGAGGAGATTTGAACAACCTCATAAATTTGACCCAAAAGGAGCCATACAGGTACACTTGTATAGAATACCAGAATATATATCCCCCCACCCCCCACAGCACCTACAGATATTAAAATATACATTGATCCTAGGGTGAAGATGAATCTAGCCTGGGAGAGAGCTGCAGCTGCCCCAAAGCTAATGCATAAAATGAGTGAGAACCACTTTGCTCTTATCAGTCACTGAGATTTGGGGGTTACTCTGATAATCCAATGAAAGCTAACACAGCAAGGTTATTAATTTTTCTTTGGAATTAACTACCTCTGCCAATGAGCGTAATATTCAAATCACATTTAGGAATTAAAACAAAAATCCACAATGGTTACTGCTCTCTTTCCATTTTACCAGCTGAAAATATTGTCTGAACTAACTGGGGATATATCCTGATGTGCTCCCACTTTTCTGTGTATAGTCTTAAGGTTTTAATATTCTGAAAACTGAGACAATGCAAGGAAATTAAAACCTAGCTTTTAAAAACAAATGACTGGGGTGGGGGAATGGGTTAGCCTGGTGATGGGTATTAAAGAGGGCACGTACTGAATGGGGCACTGGGTATAATACGCAAACAATGAATCATGGAACACTACATCAAAAACTAACGATGTAATGTATGGTGATTAACATAACATAATAAAATAAAAATAAAAACAAATGATTACAGGAAATTTACACATAAACATTATTATTCATAAAAACTGCACAAAAAGTTTTTCCAACTATAAATCTCAGTAAGTAATATTATCATGCTAAGAAATTAGGCTATTAATTGTAGGTTAAAAAAAATCATCTCATTATTTAAAAATATAAATGGCACATACATTCATTAATTTAAAAAACTGATAGGTTGGGGAGCCTGGGTGGCTCAGTCAGTTAAGCATCTGCCTTTGGCTCAGGTCATGATCTTGGGGTCCTAGGACTGAGCCCCGAGTTGGGGGCTCCCTGTGCAGCGGGGAGGCTGCTTCTCCCTCTCCCTCCGCCCTACCCCCAACCCCAGCTCTGCTTCCTCGCTCACTCTCGTACTCTCTCTCAAATAAATAAATAAAATCTTTTAAAAAAATAAAAAATAAAATAAAAACCTGACAGGTCATGGGTACTCTTATAAGATCACCTCAATGGGGAAAAGTGTTTCGAACTGCCTAGCTGAAGTCAAGACCTCAAGCTCAGGAAGGGAGATCCTAAATCCACACTCTGGCTCTGCCATATACTTGATAAACAACATTTTCTTCATCTCCGTGAACCTCACTTTAATCATATATATATAAAGTGTAGACAAATATGATTAAATGTAATGCATGCAAACAGCTTAATATAGAGATGGAATACAAAACAATACTTAAGTGTCGGTTAATAGCATTTTCAAAGGTAATGACTTAGTACATCGTAAAGTTTTTAAAAATGGGGGACACAAGTGAAAGTAGTCCCTCATCCAGCATTTCTATGTGTCAAAAACACTTGGATGTAACCTTTCTAAATGCCTGACCTTGAATTTCCACTAAAAACTTACCAAGTCACAGAACTCAAACACCAGAAGATAGGGAATTGCTTCTACACATTGTCCAACACACTGAAGAATATTTGGATGCTGAAGAATACTAAAAAATAAAAGTCATAGTGTTGTTCATCAAGGAGCATGCTAGTAGAACTGTTCAAACAGTAAATCAAATTTTAACACTCATGATTGAAATACGATAAATAGCAAAGCCATTTTAAACACCTGATCTTCATTAGCCTACAGGCTATGTTTACAGAACACATATTAAGGTTTACTTACTAGTAAGGTTCTCCATTTTTCAAAAAGGTATCTTGTTCCTTTGGGCTTGCACTTGCTTTTAATTCCTTCACTATTACTCTTGCTACGCTAGTGCCCGTGTAAATCTCTCCAAGGAGGACCTAAAACCAAAGAACAGTTTTTTACTTCACTTCCATCAAAATGGTAAAGAAGTATGTCTCATTATCAGGAAGCAGAGTATGGGAAAATAAATTAAGCAACAATCAGGTCTTCTACTATAAAAACACCACCTCAGAAAAAGCTTGAAAAATGAAACCATTTTCCTTCAGTATTAAACTGTTCGTTGGATACTGAAGCTTTCATATATGTACCTGTATTTCTTTTTTATTTATTATAAAATTGTACCATACTTTCCCGGATATTACCAGTGACATCACAGAAGAGTAATTTGTAAGTTCAGCTCAAACATAACTCAAATGTTTCTCAAAACACTTCAACTGGGTTTTGTTATTTGGTCTCCTTCACATATGAGAAAGTAAACTGACACCCAGGCAATAGGCAATGCACAAATACACTATCGTTGCATCATAACTTTAAAAATCTAAGGCATTCCAATTATTCCAGACCATTATCTTGTACTAAAACTTCAGTCAAAACACAAGGAAAAAATATGCCACTGAAATGAACAGAATACAAAATGAATGAAAATAATGGGGCGCCTGGATGGCTCAGTTAGTTGGGCAACTGCCTCTTGATTTCGGCCCAGGTCACGACCTCAGAGTGGTGGGATCCAGCCCTGCATAGGGCTCTGCACTCAGCACAGAGTCGCCTTGGGATTCCCTCCCTCTCCCTCTGCCCCTCCCCCAGCTCGTGCTCTCTCGCTCTCGCTCTCTCTCTCGAATAGATGAATCTTTTAAAAAAATGAATGAAAATAAGAGCACACTACAAGTGAAACACCAAATATAAATACTGGACAATACAAAGGCATTCCAAAACATAGTATTTAAGATGAAAATAATGAAGTAAAATTTTTTATTTAAATCAAGAATGCTCTAAACTAAAAGCCCTTCTTTTTAAAATAGTTTTTTATTTTATTTAATTTTTATTTATTTATTTATTTTAGATTTTATTTATTTGACAGAGAGAGACACAGTGAGAGAGGGAACACAAGCAGGAGGAGTGGGAGAGGGAGAAGCAGGCTTCCCACGGAGCAGGGAGCCCAATGTGGGGCTCGATCCCAGGACCCTGGATCATGACCTAAGCTGAAGGCAGATGCTTAACGACTGAGCCACCCGGGTGCCCCTAAAATAGTTTTCAGTATTTTTATCAAGTAGATTAATTTAATGCCCTGGAAATAGAGAGTAAGACCTTGAACAGAATATAATGTGTTTATTAAGAACATAAAGGCAGAACAACAAACAGAACAAGGAATTCTGATAATTAACCAAGTCATATACTCTGGTTTCAAATAACCAGCCTGGATATCTATCATAAGCCTAACACTCATAAAATAGCAATTCCAAAAAGGGTTAGAATAATCTCGCTGTCTCTCTCTCTCTCTCTGCCATCATTCTTGATCTTCAATGTCTGCAAGGATAATTCATCATTCAACACCTTGACCTCTCAAGTTTTTACCTCACTTCCAATAATCTTTTCTCTGCCCCCAACTTGGCAAAATCTCCTGTGGGTCCAGACCTAGTTAATAACTGGATTATGTCCCACACTTCAAATTTTGATTTCTCCTTCTCTACCTGTCCTTTAATTTCCAGCTCACTCACTTAAACAGTCTAATCCATCCAATTTGCCCTCCAGATCCATTCATGATACCACCATTCCACCATCCCGCCCCTACTGCAAGGCCCCTCTCCCCTCCCTGGAAGCTAAGACCCCGTCATCCTATGCTATCACCACCCCTTACCCCTCTCACAGAGCCCTGTGGGCTTAGCCAAACCCCAGCACTGCTTAAATTCAATTACCTGCCTATGGTAACACCAAAAGTAGACAAAACACACAACCACGATGACTGGTCTCATTTCAAATTTGAGGGTCCTCAGCATTCCCATTCTTTCACTGCGTTTCCTAGCTGACAGGGTTCCCAGGGGACTGTCTCACACCTTCTTCTCCTAGTCAAACTCCCAATGCATCTTTTTACTCCTCCCTTTCAACTGGCCTCCTATTCACTGAATAAAATAACCAGAAGTGAACTTCCTCATTTTAACACCAAATCCACCTTCACCTGTATCCACACACTGTTTTTATTCCCTTTTCAAGAGAACTCCTATGGTAAGCCCCCTTTCCTCTCTCCTGAATGATCAGTTTCTCCACTCTAATATAAAAGAGGCTAAAATAGCTGCACATCCTATCAAAAGCAACGCAACGCAACGCAACGCAACACAAAGCAAAACAAAACAAAACAAAACAAAACAAAACCACCTTCCCCTGGCCTTCGGATGGTCCCCAACAGCTCGTCGTCCACTTCTCTGCTCCCTTCACAGTAAGGCTCCTCAACAGGGTTGTCTAAATGTGCTGTCTCCACTTTCTCCCTGTGCCCACTGCATGGGAGTACTTGACCCCTCTACAACCTTTTTTTTTTTTTTTTTAAAGATTTTATTTATTTATTTGAGAGAGAGAGAGACATAACGAGAGAGGGAACACAAGCAGGGGGAGTGGGAGAGGGAGAAGCAGGCTTCCCGCCAAGCAGGGAGCCTGATGCGGGGCTCGATCCCAGGACCCTGGGATCATGACCTGAGCCGAAGGCAGATGCTTAACCAACTGAGCCACCCAGGCGCCCCCCCTACAACCTCTTATGACAATCCCATGGCCCCCACACGCTGGGCCCTACCTCTCCCATCCTCATCTTAGTTTGCCAGCAGCATTTACTACTATTCATCTTCTTGGCACTCCTTCTTCACTGACTCTCAGAACACCCCACTCTTCTGCACCCCTTCCTACTCATTGGCTGATCACCTCAGCTTCTGTCACTGACCTGCACTGACCTCTCCACCCCTTCTTGACATTCACAATCTTGGTGATTCCATCTAGGCTCATACCTCTGAATACCAGCTACAGACAGAGCTCTCCCAAATGTGTATCTCTGGCCTGGAACCTCTCCCTTGAGCTCTAGATATATATTTCCAACTGCCTACTCGGTATCTCCATCTGGATGCCTAAGAGCCATCCCATCTAACCTAACCAGAAGCAAACTCCTGACTTCCTCCTCCATGCCTGCTTCTCCTTAATCTTTCCCATTTCACTTGCCAGCAATTCTATTCTTCCCACCAATCAGGCCTTAAGCAGCCATCCTTGACCCCCCCCCCTCCAGACTCCATTTCTGATCGATCCCCAGTCCCGCATGCTCTAATTTGAAAATGCACGTTGGCTCACACTTCTCACCGCTCCATGCTATCATCCAGGTCCAAGCCTGCCTGCATCTCTCCCAGTGTGACTACAGCAGCCTTCTGACCAATTTTCCTGCTTTCCCCTTGGTCTTCCACAACGTAACTGCCCAAGTGATCCTGTTACCAGTAAGCCAGATTACAGCACTCCTCTCTCAGATGCTGGAGTCCTTTCCCAGCTCACTCTGAGTAGAAGTCTCTAAATGCACATACTCTATCTCATATCACCTGGCTCCCCCACACCTCTCTGAGCCCGTCTCCCACTCCTGATTGTTTGCTGTCTGACCACCTGCCACCACACCCTGCCAACACCCCGCCAACACCCCGCCACGGCTAGAGGTTTCAGCTTTGTCAGGGCAAGGGTTCTCTTTTGTTTGTTGCCACATTCCTAGCACCCCACACAGGCTGGGGCTTCACCTACCTTCCTCCACACTGGACCCTCAGCACCAAAACCAATGCGTGATACACAACAGGTTTTGCTAAACGGCTTAGAAGATGTGGTCACTACTAAGGGTTGGCTGACGTCGAAGACAGAGCTCTGACCCACAACTCTGAACAGAAAGACAAGATGCGTAAGACAGCTCATCACCGAGCAAGTACCTCTTCTTGCCTTGACCACCCTGCTTACGATGCAATCGCCACTCAGGAACCTTTTACACAGAACAACTGCTAGTTACACCATGGAAATGGCTATGATAAGATTATTCCTTCTGAACACCCCTTGGTAAAAAGATCAACAAACCACTGTTTCTATTTGCCTCTTGACAGGCTATGAGATATAAGAGAACAGTTCTTTGCCATGGTTTCCATAATAGTAATACTACGTATCTACGGTTCTAAAGTGGTGTAAGTATTGTAATGAAGAGAGGGGAGAAAGGGAGAAGAATTAAAAAACAATTTACCTTGAGGAGGATAAAAAGTTTCTAAAATTCCAGTCTCTCTTCCCTTCTTACTGTTCTATGCCAACAATTAGAAAAGTATCTGATATATAAATAAAAGAACTTCTTGGAAAAATGCATACACCTAGAAACACTGAAGCTCACTATCCTATGTGATTTCAGGGTGTAAAGAGTAGACTCAACTGGTACCATAGCAACTAAAGAGAATGTGGAATGTCCTACAACTCTTAATTAGCTTTAAATTCTAAACATTATAACTAAGAGGGGAAAAAAAAAGTAGATGTGAACAACATTTTACCTTTCCAAACCAGCCATTTCCAATTTCCTGGATGTAGTTTAGACTGTGGCGGGCAACTTGAGACTTCAAACCTTCTGTAGGAAAAAGAACATAAAAAATAAATATGGGTACTTAAGTGAAATAAAATAAATATTAAATATATAATCTAAAGAATAAACTCAAACATAAATTTAAAGCTTGTGCTAATAAAGGTAGAAATCAATTCATATATATACACCATCATTTTCAAACTCATGGTTTGAAAAATGGTTTCAAGTTTTATTTTATTTATTTATTTATTTTATTTATTTTTTAAAGATTTTATTTATTTGACAGAGAGAGAGAGACACAGCGAGAGAGGGAACACAAGCAGGGGGAGTGGGAGAGGGAGAAGCAGGCTTCCCGCCGAGCAGGGAGCCTGATGCGGGGCTCGATCCCAGGCCCCTGGGATCATGACCTGAGCCAAAGGCAGACGCTTAATGACTGAGCCACCCAGGCGCCCCTGGTTTCAAGTTTTAAAACTGAAAATATTTTTTTGAATGGGTTTCCTACCTGATTCTTTAATACTTTGCACTGTGTTTTCTCATCTAAACCCTCTCCTATAACCACTAATCACCATTTCAATGGCTTTTACTTAGTCCTTAGTTTCATGCAGGTGCAGGTGAAAAGCCTGTCAAAATCTGTTGGTGTCAAATCTTATCAGAACTCTGGAAGACAAAGATTTCCAGCAACCAAATCAAACCAGGAGAAAGGCCACTGAAACAGGGTAGAATTTCTCTGTGTCTTTGAATTTATCATAGCCCCACCCCCCTAACCCCCGGTGCAGCAGCAATCTTCATGATGACACATGTTCCGGTGTGGGTCCCAGTTCCAGACAGAGCACAGTAGACCTTATTATTCCCAAAGAACTGTGTTTCCTTTTACTGGAAGTTTCCCTGAGGGACTGCCACAAGTGGCTTCCCTTGGTTTCACCAAACTCAGAACTCTATCAGGACAGAGTGTTCCTCAAGAACAGTGAAAGCCAAATGAATGAGACACTTCCACTGGGACAAAATATAACAGTAGAGGCAAAGAGGAGACATGCTGAAAGCTTTAGCGGAAAAGCAGGGGAGTGAGATTTGGGAGGTGAACAGGGGCTTTGAAAAGCTATTGCAATATATGGAGGAACCCTGAGAGCCACCTGCATGCTCAGAGAAGGACACACACTCACAGAAGACTTGAGAAGAACATAACTTTCACACCTCTAGCTAGGCTTCACGCCCAGCACAAGCAGGAGGTGAGGACTAAGGCAGAGCTGTAAGTAGCCTGGGTGAAGAGCATCCCAACACAGAGCTAATATGCAAAGACCCACAGAATACTTTTATTTTGTTTTTGTTTTCTTTTTTCTTCTAAGTACATCGTATTATTCAAAATGTCCAGTTTTCAACAAAAAAGTACAAAACATGCAAAGAAACAAGAAAGCATGGTCCACTCATAGGTACAAAGGAAATGTAAAAGAAAGTGTCCCTGAGAAAACACAGACAGTGGCTTTACCAGACAAGACTTTAAATCAACTGTCTTAAACACGCTCAAAGAGCAAAAGGAAATCATGGACAAAGAACTGAAGGACACCAGGAAAATGATGTCCCGATAAGTGGAGAAGATCAATAAAGAGATTCAAACTAGTAAAAGGAGCCAAATGCCAATTTGGAGCCAAAAAGTACAATAACTGACACAAAAAAATTTACTAGAGGGTTTCAACCAAAGATGGAAGCAGACAGAAGCAGCCGTGACCTTGAAGAGAGTTCAAATACAATTATCCAAGCTGAGCAGAAGAAAAAAGAATGAAAAAAAAAATATCAATGAGCAAAGGCTCCAAAGGGACTTGTGGGACACCACCAAAAGGACCAACATACACATGACAGCCCCAGAAAAAGAGGGGAAAAGAGGGCAGAAAGAATATTTGAAGATATAATGGTAAAAAATGTCCCAATTTGGAAAAAGGTATGAATCTACACACGCAAGAAGTTCAACAAATTCCAAGTAAGATAAACTCAAACACACACTCAGACACATCATAATCAGACTGTCAAAAACCAAAGATGGAGAATCTTGAAAGCACCAAAAGGGAGCCACTCCTACATATAAGGGATCTTTGATAAGATTAACAACTGATTTCTCACCAGAAACCATGGAGGCCAAAAGGCAGTGGAGTGGGATGGCACAAGTGACATGCTGGAAGAAATGACCCGTCAACCAAGAATTCTATACCCGACAAAAACTGTCTTCCAAAAAATGAAGGAGAAGGTAAGACATCTCCAGATAAACACAGGTTTAGGGAGATTACTGCCACTATACCTGCCCTACAATAACTGTTAAAGGGAGTCCTTCAGGTTAAAATAAAAGGACACTAAACAGCAACTGGAAGCCATATGAATAAAGATCACTTGTAAAACTACATAGGTAATTATAAAAGCCAGCATCATTGTATTTTTGGTGTGTAGCTCCTCTTTTAATTTACTACATGACTGAAAAGACAAACACATGAAAAATTATAAATCTATGTTAACGGGCACACAAGATCTGAAGATGTAATTTGTGATGACATAAAAGGACTTGACTGAATTGCGACTATTTATATGGTACTGAAGCTAAAAATTGGTATCAAATGAAACACAACTGTTATAAATTGAAGATAATTATGATCCCCAAGAAAATATCTAAAAAATATAAACAAAAGGGAATCAAAATGGCACACACACAAATCTTAATGGCCTATTTTGCAGAAATGGAAAAACTGATCCTAAAATTCATATGGGGGGGCCGCCTGGGTGGCTCAGTCAGTTGGGCGTCAGCCTTCGGCTCAGGTCATGGTCCTGGGGTCCTGGGATTAAGCCCCACGCCGCGGGATCCCTGCTCAGCAGGAAGTCTGCTTCTCCCTCTCCGTTGCTTGTTGCTCTCCTGCTTATGCTCTCTCTCGCTCTAATAAATAAAATCTTAAAAATAAATAAATAAAATAAAAATCATACAGAATTTCAAGGGACTCTGAATAGCCAAAACATTCTTGAAAAACAAAGTTGGAAGATTCATGAACTTCTCAATTCCAAAACTCACTACAAAGCTATACTAGTCAAAACACTGTGATACTGGCAATAAGGCTAGATATAGATCAGTGGGATTGAGAGTCCCGAAATAAACACAAACAAATATGGTCAACTGATATTCAACAAGGTGCCAAGACAATTCAATGAGGGAAGAACAGTCTCTTCACAAATTGTTGCTGGGGCAACTAGCTATCCACCTGTAAAACAATGAACCTGGAACCTTACTTCACACCATATACAAATACTAATGGGTCAAAGACCCAAATTTCAAAACTAAAACTATAAAAATCATAGACGACAACATTGGTGCAAATCTTCATGACCTTGAGTTTGACAAGTTTCTTAAGTTTCTTAAGTATGACACTAAAAGCACAAGCAACAAAAGAAAACAATAAATTGGACTTCATCAAAATTTAAAACTTTTGTGTATCAAAGGACACTACCAAAAGAGTGAAAAGACAAACTACAGAATAGGAGAAAAACTTGCAAATCACATCATTATTGTGAAACTATTAAATAATTAAGACAATGTTGTACTGGAACAAGGAATTGACAAATTACTGAAATAGAATAGAAGGCCTACAACAGACACAACACAAATGGTGTTTTTTGTTTTTTTACTTGAGAGAGAGGGGCAGAGTGAGAAGCAGACTTCCCGCTGAGCAGGGAGCCCAACGTGGGGCTCAATCCTGGAACTCTGGGATCATGACCTGAGCCAAAGGCAGACGTTTAACTGAGCCACCCAGGTGCCCCTACATATGGAACTAAAAAGCGAGAGGAATAGAAGGACCAATCAGTGAAGAAAGCTGAGAAAAACACAGTAATCTACCAAAAAGATTCATGGATTCTTTAACACCATACTCAAAAATTAACTCAGGTTTGGGCAGAGCAAGATGGCATTGGAGTAGGAGACCTGGATTTTGTCTGGTCTCAGGAATTCAGCCGGATAGGGATCAAACCATTCTGAACACCTACGAACTCAACAGGAGATCCAAGAAAAGAACAGCAACAACTCTCTGAACAGAAAAGCGTCCACTTTCTGGAAGGTAGGACGTGTGGAGAAATGAATCCGGGGCGATATTCGGGAGGATAGACGGCGGGGGAGGGGGCCTCATCGGCCACTTCTGGCAACTGACAGAGCCGCGGAGCACAAAATCGGAACGTTTAGAAGTTGGCTCCATTGAGGGACGTCGCTCCAGTGGCTAAGCGGGGGGTGGAACCCTCGTGGGACAGTGCGGTCTCAAGACCCTCAGGGTCACAGAAAGACCGGGGGTGCCTGAGTGCGGCAGAGCTTCCAGGTATCGGAGCGGGGAAGCCGGCTGCAGAGACGGAGCCGAGGCATGGGCTCTCACCTCCGGGTTGCCATAAACTGTGACTGGAGACACAGTCAGGGCCACTGCTCCTCCAGCAGGGACCCAACAAGCGGCAGAGCCGGGGAGGCTCCCCTTCCTCCCCCAAGAGGAGCAGCGCGGGAGCACACCGCAGGGATCTGCTGGGTTTGGAGACTCCACACCGAGTCAGGTGTCAGAGATAGAAACGCTCGGTCACAGACCGGGGAGACGGGAGTGACTGACTGCTTTTCTCTGGGAGCACACTGAGGAGCAGGGCCCCGAGTTCTCGGCTCCTCCGGGGCGGAGATTGGGAGGCCGCCATTTTCACTTTCGTCCTCCAAAGCTGTACCAAAAGCTTGCAGGCAACAAAAGCTCCCGAGAGCAAACCCGAGCAGATTACTTAGCCCAGACCAGGCAAGGGCGGGGCAATTCCACCTCCGGCAAAGACGTTTGGGAACCACGGCAACAGGCGCCTCCAGAAGATCAGCAAGAACAGCCAGCCAAGACCAAGTTTACCAATCAATGAGAACGGGAGAACTCCAGCGCTAGGGGAATACTACACATAGAATTCATGGCTTTTTTACCATGATTCTTTAGTCTTTCAAAGTTAATTTTTTTAACTGTTTTTTTTTAATTTTTCTTCCCTTTTTCAACCAACATCAATCCCTTTTTTAAAAAAAC